AGATGTTGCCCTGTTGAGTAATATTGCTGGAAACTGCATGAGACGTACCCTGTTATGGTGAGCCTCCAAAAGACTAACTAATAATATGGTGCATGTGCATGTCATAAATTCTGCTTACCAGCCCACTCATTGAACAAAACATAGCCTGGCGATGCTCTCATAACAGCCACTGGTTACTCTGATGTCTCAGGAACCTTTATGTTTGCAGTTACTTTGATGTATAAAATGTAACTTTTTTATTAACATTTTGGTCTTGTCTTTTTCTCCTCCTCTCATTGTATTGTTCTCCACTTCTGAATGCCCTGAGTCATACTGAAGTACAATTACATGTGTACCAGTCTCCAAAGAGTTATTATTCGTGGCTGAGCTAACGCAGTGCATCTCGGCAGGCTAATCGACAGATGGGGGCGTACCAGACAACTTCTATTCTGTCCTTACTCAACATCCTTGCACACAAACTTTCCAGAAGGGGGTCATTGGATAATGATAAGGAGCTGCAACCCTGGCTGATCATTTTTCCTTTCCCTATCAAAGCAGAGCCGGTGCCAGTTATAATAATAATAACAATCCTTGCATTTAATATAGCACCTTATCACATCGTTGAGGCATCTCAAAGCATTCACAGAATATACTGTAAAGTGAATTGACTGTCTATTTTGAGGGCAACACGCGGCAGCCAATTGCGCACAGCAGTGTCCCACAAACAGTTGTAGAGTGAGTGACCAAATTATTACTATTATTTTTTAAGGGATTATTATCCCCGTAAAACGATTCATCAATCGACTTAACCAGGTTCCTACTTACTGCCAGGTAAACAGAGGCGTGTGGAGCAACCGTGCCCCCAGTTCTGTGCAGTGTAGAACCAGATAAATTTATAGTGCAGGAGAACCCATTCAGTCACCATGCTTGTGCTAGATCTTTGAAAGAGCTATCCATTCAGTCACATTCCTCTGCATTTTCCCCAGACCATTTTATATTCTCATCCATTTATCAAATTCCCTTTTGAATACAAATATGGACCTTGACTCCAGACATGGCAGTCTACATCCTAACAACTCTGTGGGTAAAAAAATGTTCTTTTGTTTATAACCTTAAATTGATTCCCTCTGTTTATTAACTCACTGACTAATTTGGAGGTGCAATACATTTGGCAACTTGGAAATAATTCCACTAGCACATTCATCTCTTTCTCTCTATTGGATGTCAACAACCAACTCGTGACTATCCTACTTGGGTGGGGGTGGGGGGAGTAAGTGGGGTCTCCTTGGAGCTGCTGAACTGGCTCCAAGGCGACATGCCTGGCAATGGAATGGTGGAATTGAGCCAGCCCTCTGTGGTGGTCTTGGTAGTCCAGTTCCTAAACCAGGTGGGTCCGCAGTATTCCAGGGCACTGCTGGCTCATTGACAAGACCTGGAAGAGAAGACTAGTCACTGGGGCAGGGAATCATCCCACTCAGCTCCTGTTACCCTGCAACCCAAAGCCCTAACTCGTCGGGAGGTCCTAGCTGGACAAGCAGCAGGAAAGCTGGCCATATCAATGGCAAACTATGCGGTTTTAGCTGGTTAGACTACGGCAGTGCTCAAACACACACACTGGGGTCCCCAAGCCTTGGCTCTTGCCAACCTGTGCCTAATACTTTCCGGACTTAGGTAAGCAGGATGCGTCCCTCCAGGGAGAGAGTGGCATTCCATTCCAACAGTCTACCTCTGGGATTTCCATGTGTAGGTGGGATGCATGGAAATCTCAGCTTGGTTTGTGTATTCTTAAGTATGGTGATGGGTTTCTGTATGTGTCAGACACCCGGCTGACAAACAAAACAAAAAAAAAATCCATATGGGCAAGCAGCTTGCCACCACTCAGCAAAGAGAAAGTAAACCTAGAGCTATACTTTCACATACATCAAGCCATCAGGACAGTGGGGCACAAGTTCAAGGTAGCCAAGGGCAAGTTTAGGATAGGCAATGAGAAGTGTATCTTTCCGCAGAAGTTAATCAACTGTTTGAAAGGGTTACAGGAAAGGTGGTTGAGGCCAGAACAATGCAGTCATTTGAGATACAGCTTGATGCTGTAATGGGTATTCTGGAGGGATGAAAGGGCTTTCTTCATCCGAACTTCTCTTGTGAACTTCTCATCAAAGCAGAGGTGATATCGGAAGCTCAGTATTTGGGTCGCACCACTCACTAACGTGAGCTGTATCTCACAACCTAAGAGCACAGGGGCCTGACACGGGCTATCAAATGTGGATGATGTACTCACAGCACTAATGGCTTTCACTTTGATGAGCACAATCACAACTTTCATTTATACATCACCCTTCCTGTAGGATAATTTCTCTGAGCACAAAAAATCACCGAAGGATCCAGAATTCTAATTTATTCATTTACCCTTCCTCTATGTTACAGATAGGAACATATTAGAATCATTACATGGGGGAAGTCTAAAAGGTTACATAACCCTGTCACGTCAAATTTATCTTTTAAACTCATAAACTCGCACAGCTAAAAGGTCATTGCTGAAGCCTTCCAAGCAAGAACTGCAAGATCTGGTGAAACAAACACAAGTCAGCTCAAAGCTTTATGAATAGTTAAGAAGGGCATCATTTGATTTTTCCACATAAGTCCAATGCTGAGATAAGTGGGCGAAAGAAGGGAGAAATTCCACAAGGGTCTAGACTTATTCTATTAACATAGCAATTTAGGCCATGCAGAAGTTGACAAGTTGTTGAATTCAGTCTTAACTTTGAAGTCATTTTTCTGTAGTTCTTAAAACTACCTGTTTTGAAATTAAGGCTGTATTTAAGAATTGACCAAATTCTGGACGTTCTGAAAATCTTCGCTAATAGAGTAAATCTAGACCCAGGTGGAATTTCTCCCCAGCAGTCTAGAAGAGGAAACATTGGAGTTGAATCAGCCTGCAAATTGAGTAACCGATCTTTTCTGCTGGTAATTTACGAATCGTCCCTCTGACTCATAAGACCTCAGCACCAAGCCACTTGTTATTGCTTGTTGGGCTGTTCAAGCGCTTTTCAATCCTATTATCATGAGAAGGGGGTGGGGTACTGCCTCATCTCCGCAGTGGAGTCCTGCAGCTCAGTGGTTACAGCACTCGCCTCACAAGCGAGAGACCTGGGTTTACTTTCTCTGTTTACTTAGCAGTAAGTAGGAACCTGATTGCTAGTCGATTGGTGGATCGCTTTTCCAGGGGTGATAATTCCTTCAAAAAGAATCCCCCAAAAATTGGTCACTCAATCCACGACTGTTTATGGGACACTGCTGTGCGCAATTGGCTGCAGTGTTTCGCCCACACAAAATACAGTCAATTCATTTTACAGTATACTGTGTGAAGCGCTTTGAGACGTCTCAGTGATGTGATAAGGTGCTATATCAAATGCAAGGATTTTTTTTTATTTCGGTCTACTCTCCACAGGGGATGCTCCACATCCCCCGCCCCAACTGCCCTACCATCGATGGCCGGGCCTTCAACCTCTCAGGCCCTAGGCTCTGGAACTCTATCCCCCAGTGCCTTCGCCGCCTCCTCCCTTTCCTCCTTCAAGGCCGGTCTCAAGACCTTTCTCTTTGACCATGCCTTCAGCTCCCCTCTCGACTCTCTACCCCCTCCTCGCTCCCTCCCTTCCCTCCCTCACCCTGACCATTTCCCCCCTGCTCGGGTCCTGACCCAACTGTACAGCGCCTTGGGACATCCTCCCGACGTGAAAGGCGCTCTATAAATGGAATCTTGTTGTTGTAAAAAGGAGGGCAAGGCGAGGAATACTGAGTTTTCAGAAAATTTTGTGGGGACTTTAAGCATCACTCAGGAGGCAGCTCGCTCACACTTATGATTTATGAGTAATTGCTTTTTAAAAAGATTGCAGTTGCAGTTTTCTTGAGTATTTTATGTTCTCCTGACTGTTTATTCTCTTCCATTCTCTCCTCCAATGTTGCTGTTCTCCTCAGGACATGCAAGGCTCTGTTGATGACTGACAGGTACCCAGCTTCCTGAATTCCCTGTGGGAGCAAATGCTGACATGAGCTTGCATCTATCCAAGCCAGACAGCACCTGATCACCGTGGTCCCACTCACCCACATCCCCCCCCGCCCCGCCCCCCCATACTTGTGTCACCGTATTCTCAATCTCTCTGTATCCACCGAGTCTATTATCAAGCATTCCGTTAAGTTACCCCTCGTGAAAGATGCCATATAAATGCAAGTTGTTGTTGTAGTAACAAAAGTATTATTACTTTCATAATATTATTTTATAGTACGTATTATCAAAAGCCTGAGAGTTAGTTAAAAAAAATTCATATTGGAAATTTGAAAGAAAAATAGAACATGCTGGTAAAGAAGAGCTGTCCATTCAGTACCTGATGGTAGGATACCACCGTGGATGCGACTGTTCCCGTTTTATTCCTGAAATTATTTTTAGAACATGTTGTCATGGGCCAGGGGCACAGCGGAACCAAACCAAGAGGACAGAAAAGTAAATGCAACTGTTTCATGCACTTGTATCTATTTTTCTCTTTATAAAATACAGCACATCAACATGTCATGGAGGCTCGTCAAAGTGCTTCAAAGGACTTTCGTGTGAAGTGTAGTGACTGTGACTGCATTTATAGGCTACAGAGAAATGTTAGGCTATATAGAAATTTAAAATGACAATATTTTAATACACCTGTATTTGGCTAGACAGCTAGATGCTTTACGCAAATTGAGTTTGCTGCTTCAGCTTTAGTTCTTGTTCTTTTCCCCCATAATGGTTTTCACTTGGGGGAAGAGAGAAGTCAAAGAGCTCCGTGCAATCACTGAGTGTGAATTGAGTCCCTTGCCTGCTGTGCTCCTCAGTGGCAACTCTCTCCCATTGTTATAAACAGAGCATTTATTTTTCCCAAATGCTTTTTGAAATGTAACCAGGCAACAGTGAGGCCTGGGTAATTAACCCTCTTACACTGACCGTGACTGTGATGTTTGCTACAAATTGACGCTTTTTTTTCCATTTGTTGTAGCTCTGATAGCAATTGGACAGTACAGCACAACCATTGAAACAGTGGACGTGGGCTGGTGTAAAGAAATCACAGATAAGGGAGCAACCCAGATCTCACAGAGCAGCAAGTCCCTCAGGTACCTGGGACTTATGAGGTGTGATAAGGTAAGAAGCTTCACTTTGCCATCTTAATGCTTTATTGACTTGTTCAGCAAGTGGCTAGTTCTTGCGATCTCTATTCTGAAGCACTCTCAGCACCCAATGCAGCCTTATAGAGAATGATAACCTTATATCCAATTTATTGGACGATCTGGCTGGCATATTGAGGCAACAAATGTATTTGACAACATTTTTTTTAATATTTAAGATTTTTTTCACAGGGGAGAAGAAGATAAAAGATGAGGGCCAACTAATTTGGGGGCATAATAATAATCCTTACATTTGACATGCCTTTCACATCAGGAAGTTGTCTCGAAGTCCTTTACATATATACTGAGAAGCAGAGTGGCAGTGTATTTTGTAGGTAAATATGGCAGCCAATTTGCACACAGTAATGTCTCACAAACAACCGTACAGGGGAACAATCACTGATCTTTACATAATGGGCTACAGTGGCACAGTCTGTTAGCAGTCGACAACACAGACGCAACCAGAGTATCTATTTAGAATGGCACCAGCCACTCTTCTGGATTTGTGGACAACACTAGCAGCAGCAGCAACAACAAATTACATGTCTATAGTGCCTTTCACGTCGGGAGGATATCCCAAGGTGCTGGATAGTAAGGGATTTGGACCTGAGCAGGGGGTTGGGATCAGGGAGGGTGGAGGACAGGGAGGGTAGGGTAGGAAGGTGATCAAAGGTGCGGTTGAAGAGGGGGAATCTTGAGACATGCCTTGAAGGAGGCAAGGAAAAGAGCGAGGCGCAAGAAATGTGGAAGGAATTCCCAAGGGTGAGGGCAGAGAGGATGAAGGCCCGACCACTGATGGGGGGGGCGGGCCAGGCGGGAGACATGGAGCAGGCTGGAGCCTGCTGAGCAGAGGGAGCGGACAGGTGGATATGGCGTTAGCAGGTCACAGAGGTAGGAGGAGCAAGGCCGTGAAGAGGGAAGTCGTGTCAGTGGGCTTACGTTGACAGGTATCCAGAGCAGCTACAAACTCAGTATAAAATCAGCAAAAAGGCAACATTTGAGGCTATCTATAAAACTGATTGGACTGTTAAGAAATCAGAATCCCAACTGGGAGCAGCAGGAAATTGAGATCAATATCACAGTTTAAAATTAACTACTCTGCCCGGCTGACTGATCAGCAGTACAGCTTGAATTTTTCCAAACATTAATACTACAGATCCTGTTTATCAAAATCATTTTCAGACCCAAATTAAAGTGGTCACGAGTTTGAGGGATAGAGGGAGGGGGGGAGAAGAAGTTTTATATCAATAGCCTGAGATTACTAAATATTATTCTGGTTATTGTATTCTGACTGTGATAAGTCTGCTTAATGATGCATTTTGATTTATGCATCAGTAAATATCCATTGGGAGCTCCACATGGTAAAGATGTGCTGAAGTTAGTCACAGTTTTATTGGGTTGAGATCAGAAAAGGCTAATGAAACTTCTATTAAGAATGCGCTTGATATGGCCCAGTTTACCCCTTTGTGATCATTACTTGCCTTGCAAATATAGACCATGAGGGAAAGAAACAGACATGCAACTTTGTTTAAGAAGATCTTGGGCTGGGTCTCCACATTTAATGAGTAGATAGCCTCACAGTTTCCTTGAGATCACTAGAGGTTTAGTGAGATTTTTGTTGCATTGAACTTTCCATTTGCTCTATTTTTTAAAAGTGTACTTTCTCATGAAGGTTTAGTTAGTGGGGATGGGAGCGGGTAGCATTTTAGATTATAATAATAATCCTTATATTTGATACAGCTCCTTTCACGTTGAGAAGACATGCCAAAGTGCTTCACAGGATATACTGTGAGGTCTAGCGAATGTGTATTTGTAGGCAAATGCGGCAGCCAATTTGCACACAGCAATGTCTCATAAACAGCCATGAAGTGAATGACCAATTTTATTGGGGGATTGTTGGCCAGGACATCGGGAAAAACTCCCTTCTCTTTTTGAATAGTGCTGTGAAATCTTTAGCGTTCACCTGAACAGGTGGACTTGATTTCAGTTTAACAGCAGTCAAACAATGCAGCAGATACCCAGCATTGCATTGGAGTGTCAGCTGAGACTATATAAGTTCCATGTCCCAAGTGGGCCTTAAACCCATAATCTTCTGACTCAGAGGTAAGAGTGCTACCAACTGAGCCAAGCTGACACACTGCGGTAGCAACTATCTAGATTTACCTAAAGCTTTCGTACCATGATATACAGGAGCTCTGAAGTGATCTAGGAGATGATATTTGCATTTGTTCACTGAGGAATTGGTAACAAGAGAGTATAAAATCAGGATTATCATGGGAAGAATTAAGGAGGAGGGAGGTTAGAATCTATTTAATATAGAGCTTTATTAAAATGTGGAATGCTTTCCCACAAGCAGCTATTGAAGCGAAACCATACGAACATTTAACAAGGAATTGGATAAGTATGAGAAACAAAACAAGAGTACAGGGAAATAATGGGGAATTGTGAGCAGAATATTTGTCTCCAGTGGAGAAGTTATCACTAGCAAAAGCTTGCTGGAGCAAATACAACAACAACTTGCAGTTATATAGCATGCAGGGTATAGTTTGATGCATAGAATAGCCTCCTGTGCTATAATTTTTCTGATTCTATGGAGTATAATATGTAAGAATTAATAAACAGTGAATCAGATTTACAGATAATTTTGAGTCACTCCTGCCGATAACAGGAAGTGCAGCACGCCTGACTGTGGTACCTCGAGTAACAGGAAGTACATAGATTTGCATAGATTGTACAGCTTGGAAACATGCCATTGGACCAAACTAGTCCATGCTAGTGTTCATGTTCCACAACAGTGTGCACCCAGATTACAACGGGATCCCTGCAGACTGGCATGATTCACTTCCTGTCGCTTGAGACACGTTGCAATGTGAAGCACATATAGACTTTTATGAACACAAGAACAACATGTACAGTATTTGTAGAACGCTGTTCACTTAGGATAACATCTCAGAGCACTTCACATTGGATGCTGAAAAGGGGATCAGAAGTGATCATCGGGGATTTTCGAAGAGGTAGGTTTGAAAGACAGATAGAGAGGGAGAGAGAGTGATGCTTTGGGATAGAGATAGGGAGTTCCAGAGATTAGGGGCATAGAAACGGAAAGGTCAGGCACTAGTTAGCTGAGCTGGATCCAAAGTGATGTGATTGGCAACGGAATGCCAGGATGGAATCAGCTCACTGTGGTGGCCTCAGTAGTCTCATTCCCGAGCCAGGTGGATCGGCAGGACTCCAAGGCCTTATGGAAATTTCCATGTGCAAGTGGCAGTCATATGTGGAGCCCTCAGTCTGTGTTTTTTTAATTTTTCACCCCCCCCCAACCCACAATAGCTCTGTTGTTAAAGCTTGTGCCATGTACAATCCAAACCAGAAAAGCTAAATCCCCAGCCTGTGTTGAGTTAGATGGTATCAGCCCAGCTTTAACTGGGACTGTTACAGTTGTTTTCAGAGTCTTTGGACTAGAGAGGAAACAGCTGAGCAGGGCTCCTGTTTCTCATCTCTACCCAGTGACCATGATTGGAAAAATATAATGAGAAATAATAATCCTTGAATTTAATATAGCGCCTTATCTCGCCATTGAGAAGTTTCAAAGCACTTCATAAAATATATTGCAAAGTGAACTGACTGTGTATTTTGTGGCTGAAATGAAAAAGTAGAGTGTACTTGAGTGAGGTCAGCATCAGGCTCGGCTGTGATACCCACTAGAGTCAAACAATCCACCAACACATTTGCCTGAACTTGAGTATGAAAAATGACCAAAGGATTCCTGTCAGTCCATAGGTCCTCCGCTCTGGAAGCAGATTGTGTCAGGCAGAGTTCCAGCGGGTCCAAGTAACATACTTCCGATTGTCAGAAAGGGACCTAATTAGCAAACCTCAGATTCTTTATTAAGAAATCAGGTTAAGAAATATTGCAAATAAGACCCCCAATGAGTTACTGTCACAGTAAAAGTACGACTACGTGGTCAAGCAAGGGATTATTCTTTTTATTGGATGGGCTGAGAAAGAAATGCCAGACTGCACATAGGGAGCCTTCCAGCCTGCAGATTTAGTAACCCGAGGGGGTTTCTGAGTTCCAAGCACTTCTCGCTTCTGCCCGCCCCAGTAACATAGCAAGAAACTACTGTGTCAGTTTACCAGCACGTCAGCAGAAAGACTTAAATGTCAGCTTACAAACAGCAACCATGTCATGAGTACTGACATTCCTCATGCATGGTTTTAGCTTTAATTTCATCATTTTAAAATGTAAGATTGTGTAGGGTTTTACAAATTTCCTAAATTTATTTTCTTTTGGAAGCCAGTTATCCATATGGTCTTTGCAAGAGTTTTTCAAAATTGTTGAGGTGAAAGCCCCACATTGGAACTTTGAACTCACGCAGTCTAGGCTGGCGTTCCAGTGTAATGCTGGAGGATCTTTGCATTGTTCGAGATTGTTCTGAGGTTCTGTCTCCCTGTTCAAGTGGACGTTAAAGATCCCAAGGCACTTTTCGATAAGAGAAGGGACTTTTTCCTGGTGTCCTGGCCAATAATCCCGCCCCAAAAAATGGTCATTCACTTCAACAACAACAACAACAAGATTCCATTTATAAAGCGCCTTTCACGTCAGGAGGACGTCCCAAGGCGCTGCACAGTTGGGTCATGACCCGAGCAGGGGGGAAATGGTCAGGGTGAGGGGAGGGAAGGGAGGGAGCGAGGAGTGGGGAAATGGTCAGGGTGAGGGAGGGAAGGGAGGGAGCAAGGAGGGGGGAAATGGTCAGGGTGAGGGGAGGGAAGGGAGGGAGCGAGGAGGAGGAAGAGAGTCGAGAGGGGAGCTGAAGGCACTTCACTGCTGTTTGTGGAAATTGCAGTACACAAATTGATTGCCTCATTCGTATACAAAATGCAGGCACATGCACGGCACTTTTCAGTAAATGCTGTGAAGCACTTTGGGATATCCTCCAGACATGAAAGGTAATGTAGATTTTTTTTAGTATTTGAA